ACATTTCCTGAACTAATATGTGTGGATTCTGTTAAATTAGAAACGTGATAGGTGCACATCACAATCCACATTTCCTGAACTAATATGTGTGGATTCTGTTAAATTAGAAACGTGATAGGTGCACATCACAATCCACATTTCCTGAACTAATATGTGTGGATTCTAATAATGGCTGGAGACGGCTTAAATGGGTAATGAAGAAAAACTTTAATATAAGTTTAACATGACAGCAAATGTACAACGTTTCGACAAGGTTTTGTCATCATCAGGTACCAAACAAAATCTTGTCGAAACGTTGTACATTTGCTGTCATGTTAAACTTATATTAAAGTTTTTCTTCATTACCCATTTAAGCCGTCTCCAGCCATTATTAGTCTCAAAGTGGGTTCCTCGTCATCGAATATGACTATTCTGTCAGTTTTTGTTTGTTTGTTTTCATGAAATTCCATGGTCTGGCAAGGTGGTTGCGATGGATCAGCACAAGTCCACAGACTGATGGTTGATAAACAAAGTTCTGAAGGACCAGATACGTGCATATTCTGCCGAATGTAGCGTCTTCCTGCTAAGACTAGAGTGAAAGGAAGTGATATAGGGATTTATCATGAAACACATATTCTTTTTAAATCCCACATTGTCCTCAACAGCCAGAAACAGTTTTGGAATGTTGCCAGTATGCCTTTCTAGTCTCGAAGGCTATTGACTCACCCATAATCCCATTGAATCATAGTAATATACCACCTGCTTCACCTGATGGTATTGCAAAAAAGAAACATCAGACTTAATTCAGCACATGCATCTCCTCACTTTCCTTCACTACGAGTGACTCAAACCGGCGTTTTGTGATGTCTTGGTTTACTAGAGTAACGAAACACATTATACTAATATAATAATAGGTAGGCAAACAACGATTTATAAGCATAGCGAAAAGTTTTATTGGTGGGGGAACATACTACGTGTTTTGACAGAACATTGTTCTGTCTGCTTCAAGTATGATCAGTATTAAGCAATACAAGGTTTATATATCTTACAAAAACAAAAGACAGAGGTATTAAATATAACAGGAATGGCATCAACAGGTGACAGGATATAGGTAGAGGTCAAGTCTGGTCAAGTGTATGAACGGTGAATAGACATTGCCAAATACAACTTATGTTGCTCGAGCCATTATCGCGATTTAGTAAGATATTATTTGGTTTGATGATTTCAACAGTTTCTAAACAGAATCTTTCATTCTTTAGTCTTGGGAAGGTGTAGGAGAAGAATTTCATCCCAAAGTATTTTGTGACCTGTTTCACATTGGTGATATTCTAAGGCGGATATCTGGAATTCACCTCTGCAAGTGACCTTGATATTCTTTGAGTCTTATTTCTAAGGAACGTGACGTTGTCCTATGTATTTCTTTCCAAGTTCACGTGTTCTTTTAATAGGGATTCTTTTGAGTTAGGTAGCAGAATGCACATTTCAGTTGTAATACATAATTTTTTATGTGAAGCAAAGACAGTCACTTTGTTAATAGCAAATATTTTATATGCTTTTCCCAAGTTTTCAATTTTATCATTGAGAAATGTTTGCCAATATTTACAGTTTACATTATAATTCATTTTGTAAAAACGTATATAGCTTTAGTCCAAATGTTTTAAGGACACAGGATTCCAAACAAAAAATCGCAATCGTTTATTACACAGAAAACCTTCAAATGGACATTATAGGATACAATAACTTAGAGAAAAAATATGGAGTTGTAAAGATTAATAATTAATGCGATGTTAAATATTTTCACTATTTAATTAAATTAATCCTTTTTCTCACCTGAATAAGTTCACCATCAATTTATGCATTTATGTGTGCGGGTGTGCGTTTTTTAAATTTTATCAGATTTCATTCAAAATACCTGACCCACTCATAAGTGACTTTATTTATTTATATTTTGAGTATCGTTTTACTTTCATATTACGTTCTGTTTAATCCATAAACGACTTGAACTTAAACTATTATTAAATTATACGGATTTAGGTGTCAAAAAGAATTCTATACCATGAGATGGCGCATTGATTTTTTTACCTTTTGTGAGATTTAGGAAAAATGTACGAATGATATACTTAAAGGTAAGAAATTTAACGTTTGATCAAAATCTGTAGTTTGGATTTTAAAAAATTAAAGTGAGTGTGATTTCTTAAAATAGTATCCCAGTTAACAAACACTGAAACAGGATATGATGGAAACTTTGTAAAAGTAAATGACATATTGCAGAATTTCTTCTTACTGTTAGTAAGTATATTTATATTTAACTCATTTAAGTTATACTATAAGTATAAGGTATAAATACATAACATAGTATTTCTAAGTTCTACTAGTCTAGATTTATAGATATATATAAATTGAGATATATTGCTAATATGTAATCACTAACAAAGCTGAGTTTAAGTTGAACCTTAGAGTAATGCATCATGAATTATAATTGCTTAGCTACTAATATTAGTAATAATGTAGTAACATTTCAAATCTAACATCGACAGTTTTAGTTTAGAAGTTAAAGACTAGAATTAGATTTAGAGAGAATATTTTGTTATAGAAGTTGTTCATAATTCTGTTACTAATACTAGCATTTATTACCACTAGTACTAGTACTACCACGATTACATGTAAATGTAGGTGTAGAGAAACCTACTTCAGTTTGACACTAATGATATTCACATAATTGAAAAAACGAAATAATATTATCATTAGTAACTAATCTATTACTAGTATTAATATTAATTCATGATGTTAGAAAAACACATAGGTTCAAGAAGTCTTGACAGAAATGAATAAAAACCCTATAATCCGAGTGCTTTCGAAAAGTGGACCTTTCTTCTTCAGGGGCAAACTGGGAATATTAATGTTAAGTTGTTACTGACCTGTTACCAAACCAAAATATGTTGCTGGGGGTTTGCCAATATAAATGCCTTGATTATCTTTACTCATTTGAGTCAAAGAAATATAAGTTGTCTTACTTTGTTTTGTTCTTCTTTCACTTTGGTATTATAAATGGATTTAAAAACGAGTATGATTAGTAATTTTGGTAAGCCTAATTCATATTCATTATTTGTGTCCTTTCTAT